CAATGACAGGATAAGGAGGTGTGGTGTTATCAGTTGAAGATATTTTGATCAACGGGACTGGGGAGAAATGTTCACATATTGAAGTGCTCACATTGTAAGCTAAACAATGTGATTGAATGTATACAAATAAATAAATAAATAAATTTTTAAAAAATGCCCATCATCCCTCATTATAAGTGAGATGCAGATTAAAAACCACAATGAGATACCTTCTAACTCAGTCAGAATGACTAAGATTAAAAAAACATATATGGTAAGTGGTAGAGGAGTGGTAAAAAGGGAACTCTCCTACACTGCTGGTAGGAATGTCCAGTCACTGTGGAAAACAATATGGATATTTCTCAAAGATCTACAAATGGAGCTACAATATGATTCAGCAATCCCACTCCTTGGTATCTACCCAAAGGACAGAAGAATATTTAATCAGAAAAGTGCTTGCACATGGATGTTTATTGCACCGTTACTCAAATTGCTAAAACATGGAACCAACTTAAATGCCCATGAACAGAGGAATGGATTGAAAAAGTGTGGCACATATACTCTATGGAATACTATTCAGCCATAAAAATACAAGATCCTGGCTTCTAACAGATATTGGATTAATATGTAAGGTTTACTGCTGAGTAAAGCAAGCCAGGGTATGAAGGAGAGACATTGTATATCTCCACTTAATATGTACTGACTGTCTGCACTCTATGGGTGGAACTGAATTACGAGAGGATATAGAAACGTAGAAATAGAACAGGGTTGTAGATACCAGATACAGTGCAGGAAGGGAGTGGAAAAAGGAGGAGTCTAAGGAAGGACACATTAAGGAGAAAAATAAAGATTCAAGGCATTTATTGGACAGAGAAATGGGTTATTATCTGTTGAAGATAACATGTATAATATTCTCAACTGGACTGGTGAGAAATGTATTCATGTTGGAATATTCACTTTACAAGCTAAGAGACATATGTGATTGATTGTGTAAAAAAATTCAAATGAAAATTTAAAAATAACAAAAAAAACACACACACACAAAAAGGCCAGAACTTTTCTGTTTTTCTGTGTTTAATTAATGTCTCGAGAAATCTACTGGAAATTTCCATTTTAACTTTGCTTCTCCTCTAGTGGAATTTTTAGCTGAATTAGAGAGAGATACCTAGGGAGTCAATTTTTTTTTTGTTGTTCTTGATGGATCTAATGGAAATTCTAATTACAAGTAGTTTTATACAACCTTGACTTTTCTTTTTCAGAATCTGTACCACCCAATCCTAGAATTGGAAAGATATAAAAGAATACCAGAGCTATATAGTCACCTGTTAGAACTAGAAGCTACCTTTGTGGTAGAGATCTAAAACTAACTGGTTTACCTAGGAGCACGCTATATCTTTTTTAACTTATTTTTTATTATTTTTGTATACATCCAATAACTATATATCATTTAGCTTGTAGAGAGAATTTACACATCATGAAATATTCCTCAGACCAGTCCAGTTGAGAATACTATGCACATTATCATCAATAGGTAATAAACCATTTCTGTGTCCCACAAATGCCTTCTCTATATTTCTCTCTAATTTCCTTCCCTATGCTCTTTTCCTCTCCTGCCCTCTTTCCACACTCTCTCCAGTGTCCATAACTATTTTCAATGCTTTCATGGCCTCCAATATTTTAGTTTCTACTGTAAGGTATGGACAGTCAGTATATGTTACGTGGAGACATACAATGTCTCTCTTTTATAGCCTGACTTGCTTCACTCAGCAATAAATCTTCCATATCTGTCTACTTTCTCTCAAATGCCAGGGTCTTGTTTTTAAAGGCTGAATAGTATTCCATGGAGTATATGTCCTACACTTCTTCAATCCATTCTTCTGTTCATGGACATTTGGAATAGTCCCATGCCTTAGCAATTGTGAATAATGCTGCAATAAATATAGATGTGCAAGCACTTTTCTGACTAAGTTTAAGAGTCAAACAGTTTAAAGATTTTTTTAAGTCACATTTTTTGCTACAAAAGGCCAAAAGGCCTCTTAAGCACCTTTCATACACAGCTATATCTTTTACTAAACTCAGTTGAAAGGATTTTAGAACGAGGTAATGATCTTTGTCAGTACTTGCCTGAAAACCAATATATATTTCTTTCCCACCAACAAGGCTAGCTGCAGGTTTAACTGCTAGAAAGACAACTTTAAACTAAGCATATCTCAGGGAGACTTTGAAACTGCAACTATAGTTTCTACCATGCTGCAATATCACAGCCTCTTTTCCCAGCCTTTCTCTTCCCTTCACTCATCCTCATTCTCCTCTTATTTCCTCTTCTCTCTCATCCCTCTTTCTCTTCTTTTCTCTATTCTCAGATGCAAGCTTGTTGCTTAGGTGAAAGCTTATATTCACCATCTTTTTGTTATAGAATTTAAGTGCAGATTGTGGATTTATATTTATGAATATTTGCATGACTTAAGTGAGTTGTGGCTCATATTTACAAGCATTTACATGCTTGATTATTGTCTATCTCTATGAATTGATTATTTCTCTTTTTGATTGCATAGTTCTATTTTCTTTTTGAAGAACAGGTAAACTCTGACTTCTCCAAGACTGCTTTTTCATAAATTGAGCTTCTATGACATTTCTAAGCTACAATTACTAAGTTATAATTTACTAAGTCACTACAGAAGAACTCTACTCAACACACCAACTGTTCAGTCCACAGTAAAAATGTAGTGGGTAGGGGGAACCAGCAGTTAGCGTAATGGCTATGTCGCTGAACTCCCACGTAGTCGGCCG